CCCAATGCTTCCATTTCAGCTGATACTACTCTTTTCGATATCGCGCTGTTCTTGCGCACATAATGGCATGCAAGACGGGCCCACTCAAAGTGACCACCCGACTTGCGCGCAAGCTCTGTGACATCGCTATCTCCGAAAGCATCTTGATGGCCCAGCTTGCCGTTAATGTACGTCTTGATGTCACGCTGCGTAGATTCCAGGAATGCATCGTCGTCCCAAGATACGTGTTGAACGCGTGGTAAATCGTGCAAAGCGTCATGGATATCCGACAGCGGGCGGGAGGTGATCAAGATGCGGATGTTTGGGGGAAGCTTTGTTGTTCGAAGTGAGGCTCCGTCTCGCTTGCCAGAAAGTAGGTCCAAGATTAGTTCACGGGTTTCACACTCACCGCTCTCGTCCAGTGCGTCAATAATAATTAGAACGGGTCCCGGCTTGTCCATCGATGCCACATTGTTCAGGACAGTAAGCAGCCGTTCCCATTGTCGACTGACAGCCTCCGTATGCCTGAGTTCACTGGTGTCGTGAAGCACAATACGCGCAAGCTCACGGCGGATAAAGGGGTCGTGGTCGGCCAAGTCTCGCGCGATCGTAGACCATATCTTTTCGTGTCGACGATCTGCTTGTCGTGTTCGATCGAAGCAGTAACGAGAGCCCAATTCGCCATGCGCATGGGACCAAGTGGCTATCGTATGAGCAATTGCGGATTTTCCCTTCCCCGCCATACCAGATAGTCAGAAGATTCGCTTTGCATCCTCTTTAGTCGAATAGAAGAAGTCCTTGATCATGGAGATAATCTCCGTCCGAGTTCCATCAAGACATTCTTTGGACAGATTCATTCCAGCTCCAACCGCGTATTTCAGGCCGCTTAAGTCCACATCTTGGGCTACCTCACCAATGCTGAATATCCAGATGCGCTCTGATTAAATTTTGGATTGTACTTACCGAATCGGCGATCTGTTGCTTAACACAATTGGCAAGCTTCTTCAAGATGTCATTCAGGTGTCGGACTTCTAGACGTGTCTCAGTAGAGGTGTTCTTTCCGAGCTTTGTCCCTGCGAGGTACAACTTTATGAATAGAGCTGCGATACTTCGAAATCCATCCACAAAATACTGCTTTTTCCGAGTGGTGGGTAATAAAATCAGCGCACGCCAACATCTGTCGCGCAATCTTTACTGAAACCTCTTCCATGGCGAGACTCACGAACAGGTCCTTCTGCTCGTGGATCAGCTTATATACTCCAGTGATCTCCGTGAGGAGCCCTGATAATCCGGATCGGATATTCCTTCACTGCGATAGACATGTCCAATGATCATCTAGGTAAGAATAGTGTAAGTTGAATCAAAACGCTAGGAGGGTATGAGCAGGTGACCTCGGACGAGCATTTCAGTATCCTCACTGTTAAGGCTATAAAGAGATGAGCCTATGCGAAAGTAAATGAGATTTGTGCAGCAAGATTCGGGGACCAACTTGTACCTCTATACGTGTGTCAAGTGTCGAGCTGAAGACCGTCAGTAGCTTCATTGAACTACTTGGACTGGACGAGGAAGCCGGTTGCGAAGGAACCATCAAATGAGCTGCCACTGTATCGACGCTGGAATGATCGTATGGAGAAATCTATAATAGAATTGTGAATATAGGAAGCAGAAACGAATCACAAATGAATACCTTCCAAATACATCGACGACCTATCGCAAAAGGTCGTAGATATATCTGGTAGTAACAAATTAGGGTCATCTGACGCGACACTGTTCACACTGTGCAACGTACTGGTGTGATATCGGAACCGTCGTAGAGATGCCAACATAAGTCAGTCTTGACATTATATCGAATGCTGAGTGTTTAGTGAGACGACTATCGTCATATGTAACTCTGGTCGGAAAGATGACGTACAAGTAACCTTCTGGATCAATTTCTGCGCCCACTCTCTCGATGAACCACCAACACTTTCCCTCTGATCCAACTACTGGCATAGAGTCTTTATATGGGTATTGGGCAATGGCGGCGTGCTTATACTTGAGATTCTTGATTTGGTACCGACCGGCCGAGCTGGGGATAAGTTGCCACTATATCATAAAATCAATATGGGCGTATTCAGATACAGGGATATTGCCGCACCAATTCAAGATCAGAGACCTCAGGCTCCGGGATAACGCATACCAATGGTTCAACGTCATTATCGTTGGGCAGCATTACTCTGTTTTCATACTGGTATACACTCTAAGGAACTCTTATTGATGATAAGTGCTTGAAGGCTTCACAAATGGGAGGACCAACTTTGCAGGTGTAGAGTTCAGCCCTATAGAGATCTACACGCCCGTCGCCAATGCAAGCCGTCAAGCGTCAAGCATGAATAAAGGGAAGCAAGAATGTAGTAAACAAGAGATGAGATGTTGTCGTCTGTTGCCAGCTAACGATCGCGTTTGGCATGTGCACTGACTCGACCGAGCACCTGCTCGTTGGAAGGGCGCTCAAGCTCTCGCAAGAGTTCATGTATGCATTCTGCAGTGGTGGCCGAGTAGATGCTGATGATGCATGCCGAGTATCGATTAAATATGAAGGCCCGATAGTAATGATTGGGAATGACGTTCGGTTCGCAGGGAAATCGGGTGCGAGACTTACGCGTGTGATCGAAACTAACTCGGAGCAGGGCGACCTTCACCGCACCGGCCGTATCGCGCGGACTCAGGGTGCCCATGGACTGGAGCAGGCCCGACCTGTCAGCCCAGCATTCGTCCTGCCAGATGGTAGCGTGGAAGATGAGGTCGTTCATCTAGCATGCACTAAGATATGAGTTAATGGCAAGGAGACATTCGGTCGGTATATATAAATTTGATGCGACACCCACCGTGAGAGAGCATGTGCAGTCGCAGCATGCACTGTATGTACAGATAACTCAGTTCAATACCACCGCACTCAGACACATCGTCGAACAACCATAAACTACGGAGACCCATGGAGACTGGCAGACTGCTAGATGGCCGATACCGAATTTGTGAGAGGCTTGGCACAAGATATCATTTGGGTGCGTCATTTGGACACTACTACTGCACTAAACTTTCAATTCATGCAATAAATTATCTTAATGCAGTGTTTGCAGGCTGGGACGAAATTGATCAGATGCCAGTGGTGGTCAAAGCAGTGGAAGCATCAGAAAGTGATGACCAAGACTTACAGAAAGAGTTTCTGTTGTATCAGCATCTTTGGCATGACAGCAACACTGCTACAATACCCAAAGTGTTTCACTTTGGATACTACAACAGTGGGGTATTCATGGTCTTGGAGAGACTAACTAACGATCTTTTCAAAATTCATCAAGACCCAGGATCTCCCCAACTGGAAGATTCTGTTCTCTCACAGTTGGGAATCCAGATGGTAAGTCTCAAAGCTCAACTTTCACTGCTTCATTCACTGCATTAACAATGCTAGGTTGATTGTTTAGAATATGTACACTCCCGGGGCATCTTACACTGTGATGTAAAGCCTGATAATTTTGCCTTTCATCTCAACTGCCCAGTTCTATGTATCTTTGACTTTGGGTCAAGTGACTGGACTAGAAGCACTATCAAGAAGCCATTTCAAGGCAATGTGGTGTTTGCAAGTCCTAATGCCCTTAGAGGTGAATGTAAGTATAGGAAAAGGTTGTAGATCATGATTCTCAATTTTACTTGTATTATGCAGGGCTATCACCAAAAGATGATCTCATTTCACTTCTATACACTCTTCTCTACCTTGCCAACAGCACCCAGTACATAGACTGGATAGGTGGCATGTTACCTTGGAGGCTTCTGGCATTTGAGCCAGCTGAGCAGCAGCAGATTGTGTATGAAGAGGAAGCAGCTAGAAGAGAAGATGCCAGTGCTACTATGTCTGTATGCCATGGTCTACCACCATATTTATATTCATCCCTCATCTACTGCTATACATTGCAGTCTGATAACACCCCAGATTATGCATACTTAAAGCAATTGTTTCTTAAATAGAGTATAATAGTCTCACAGGACTGCTGAGGTTGGAGCAACATGGATGATTAGGCTATAGT